CCCCGTGATAAATGACCAGTCCCTAAAGTTATTCTGTACTGAAGGTTCAGAACCTTGGACTAGGCAGTAGGGATTTTCCCTGATATTTAAACTTGCTTCATGAGGTTTTTCCTTACGGGATAGGACCATATGCGGAACAGCTGTGAGAGTCATTACACGGTCCTTATGTTCTGGTAATGGCTCAGACAATTGGAAAAATGTGCTTGACTATTGGTTCAGCCCTGGAGCAGAGAAGAAATGGTTCCATGGTGGAACTCAAGTCGATGAAGAAATCAGACAAAAGTTTTCATCTTTGGTAAGTGAAAATGGCGATAATGAATGACAAGGAAAGGTGAATGGTTGTCTATAAATCTCCTTTGGGAGAGGAGAGGGGGGTTGGTCTCTGGAAACAAATGCATCGGGGGACATGAAAAGCTGTTTTATTCTTTATGGCACAGTTAAAATTTTTCTTGGCAGGGGGGGTCAAATGCCACCCTCCCAGTCTCCCATAACCCCTTAAAAGTCACACCCTAATTGCCAAGCCCTAGTGGCCCATGAAAAAGCAGAGAGATTTGAGCATACATATTTATTACAAACACTGCTAATTAAAGTGACATATGGTCATTTCCTTTCAGTCACATTTCAATCTATAGAAAAGCCTTTTAAAAGTCCTAATGTATGGTAATAACAGGGGGGGGTCAGTAGTTATTGATACTTCTGATAAAATGACAGAAGAAAACTAAAGTTAGTTATCCTGTTTCAGGTTGAAAAAGCTGTGCAGGGAGAACTGAAAGAGTGGGAGACTGAGCCCAAACCATCATTGGCATTGATCATTCTCACTGACCAGTTTACTAGAAGTATTTTCAGGGTAGGTTAAATGACATACTATTACACTTAATAGCCAATTTCGCAAATGCCTTTGGCCTCATTATTCAAGGCAAGTCCTGGTGCTCTGACTAAAGATCCTGACTAAGAGGTTTGCAAAGATCTTTACAAGGATCTATGAAGGATCCTTGGAGGATCTTCATTAAATCCTTGAGGATCTTATCAAATGATTTTGCATATAAAGATCTTTGAAGGTCCTTCAAAGATCCTTCAGTATGGCCTTCTCACAGCAAGAGAGAACACTCATTAGACTACAAAATTAAGGTTGCCACAAAGTTCGTCTTTTGTTCTTCTGCATGATTTTGAATTTTTATGGAATTTTTGTATATTAATTTTATCAATAATTTTGTTTTGTAAATGATCCTGAAATTATTAAACCAAGAGTGTATCCACTAGTTATTCTTAGACTTTTATCAGACATTTTAATGCATTTTTCGATTTGTTTTGTAAATATTTTAGTGATTGTTAGGAAATAAGGGTTTAGGATTTGCTTTTACATAACCTAAAGGCCAAAGGGAAATAAGAAAATTATCATTTACTATTAATAAATTATTTATCATTAATTTCCAAAGGGAAATAAAAAATTATAATTGTTATTGTTATTGTTATTAGTATTTTTTATTATTACCATTATTTCTATTATTATTATTATTATTATTATTATTATTATTTTTATTATTATTATTATTATTATT